TATATATATATTTTTTTTTTTTATATATATATATATATTTTTTATATACTTTGACTGACCACATTTTAACCCCAGTGTGTGACATGCAATATATAAAATACACAAGGCATCCTAGGTTCAATATTTTTGTTGTAAAAATAAAAATTCAAGTATGAATTCAGAGGTTTGACGCGCGCGGTCTATGGATTTTTCCCCTCCTGAAAGGTCCACACACACCCCAGGCAATCTAATACTTGTGTTACCTAGACTCCCGAGCTGAGAAAAGTGCTCCTAAAGGGGGTGTTCAGCTTACAAGCCCGAGTTTCATTACTCAGCAGTATCTTTTTTCCCCACGGCAGCTATTGACCCAAATGTTTCTTTAGGACAGTTTTCAAAGCAAAAAAAAAATAAAAAAGAAGAAAGAGTTGTTGCTTAATCCTTCAGCCATGTGCTGCTGCTGTAGAGCCTGTACTTTGCAGTTTTGGTAAAAAAAAATCCAAAAAAAAAATCACGTGTTTGCATTATAAATAGTAGTCACAAGCTGTTTAAAAATGTAATTACTGTGAGGTTGAGGGCAAATAAAGAAGCCATTGAAAAAACCAGTGAAAAAGAAGCCAGTGAAAAAGAAGCCATTGAAAAAGCTGCATGAGGAGGTTTTTTTTGGGGGGGATTAAACACCAAGTTGTTGTGCTCTATAAAACTGCAGCATGTCATGGTTCTTTCTGCCTGCAAAATCAGTTTTTTCTTTCTGGCATTGGAATATTGTTGTTCCTGTTTTTGATAGCACATTAGCCTCCGACATGTCTCTGTGGAATACTTTCATCTGAATGTTCACTTTGGATTATTGTGTCCGTGAATGGTTTGCTCCTCATTCTCACACGAGTTCTAGGAATGTGGCCGAACAATGTGGTGTGTGGTTAAACCGGATGACCACACTTCATTGTTCTTATATTTCGAGAGTCAAGCTCTTATCAGCATGGTATTTGCACATTTGCGAATTCAGGCCTTGCATTTCCAGCGCCTGGATGGGATGTACTATATACCAAATTTCATGGTGAGTTCCAGGATCTTTATGTTGTCTGACTGCAGTGTTTCCATGCATGAAATGAAGGAGGTTTATGTTCCTTGTCCCCAAACATAATAGATGGTACTTAAATGGTTTCACTGAGTTGCAGCGTGTTCCGGGTTTGAATCTCCTGGTTCTCATTTGTTTGGACTTTGTTTGACTTCAGCTTCTCCCGGTGTGCGTTTCCTGTAGTTGCTCCACAGTCCAAAGACATGTAAGCGTCACTAGCTGCAGGTATGGATGCGGACCCTGGGACCTAGGGCTATGGAAGAAAGAGGAGAAGTCTCTTTGTTTTTATAGAATCATTACCTTTATGTCAAAAAACAAAATTATTTCTCCTAATTGTGACCTCATATTCTTATAGTTATGACCTAGTGTATCAGAACTTTTTGTTTCATCAGGAGAGCTCGTAACAGCGATTTCGTGTCTTGTAATTATGACTTTCTGTTGCATAATATTGAAATCCTTATTTGACTTGAATGTACTATGTGACAAATAAGAGACACAATATAGTCATGCTTTTACAATGCCTTTTTAGTATTATCACTTTATAATCTTTATAAGTAGATTCTGAATATGAATATACTAGAGGGTTAGGGTTAATACAATGAGTATTAAAAAAAGAGTTTGCAAGAAGTCAGATGTAGCTCTGGGTCCTTAGAAGAGATCAAATAAACCAGATTAAACTCAAGCGGTAATGCCAACATAGGATAACAATGTAACATAACTAACCAACTACTTAATAGACCCAAATCTAAAGTACCCAAAACTGACCTAGAAAAGCAAGAGACACAGGGGAGCTAGCAAATTATCTAATAAACGAGAAAACCCCCCAATTGGTTCACTAGTGATTTGAATGCTGAATAAAAATATAAAATAGCCAGTGCACCTGCTGTCCCACAGCGTACAGGAGTTGGGCGCACTTTACCGACTGTGTCTGATTCGAATGCAGAGAAGTGAACTTAGTGATCGAAGACCTGAATTTCACTGCTTTGAACTTTGAACTTCAAAGTGTCAAACATGTGGATGCAGTTGGAAGTCAGACTTTAAACACCTGTAATCACATCTATGAGTGATGCCACCAGTTCCTGGAGTACACCTGTGCTTCACTGCAGCAAAATGAAAAATGAAGCTGCTTGTGCCACGATACAGTTGTGCAGTGTTTTACGTGGTTGTCGAATTTACTGTAGAATATAATGTTGGCGGTATGTTTGTGCATTTGTTGTGTATTTCACAGCCCTTGTTCTTCCCCATAAATTCTTTATTTAAAATCGATTCATACTGTGGAGCAGCTTGCTGGTTAATACACCTTTTAATGAAGAAAAAGGTGTTTCATCTAAACCCCCACCCCCTTTTTTGAGGAAGAGTTCTTTCTGTAAGTTAATCAAGCGTAATAAATTGTTATCACCATCCTCATGAAACTGTTCATGCTCTTATTAAGACAGGACAGTAGAGAGATCAGTCATTGCCGTCTGTGTGTCTCAGTTATGCAGTAATACCAGCTTATACACATGCAGCGTATTTGTTCTTTTATCTGCAGTGTGGCTAATCTTAGATATGGAGAGGGAGGGAAGAACTCAAGGTTAATCATTTCTCAGTTCTGTTATCACAGTTCTGTCTGGGAAATGTTTGGGGAGTATTCTCTTTGTATGCACTGGATACGTTGCCTGAATGCTGGGTAAGTATATGCCCACAGTCATACTTTTTGTTAAAAACTTTGTACCATTTCTGACTTACATGTATCCACGGTAGGCTTTGATATTTTGACTATATTCACAACACCATGGCTTGTGTTGTTTTACCAAACTTTGTTTAACAGAGCTGAACAAGTCCAGTAAAGTTGTCCTTGTCGAGTCATCTTTGCTAGATTGCCACATTGCTGTGTGTTATTGTGCAAAGAAAGTGGCTTGCACGTGTCCCCTTTTTAGTCACTTTTCTGTTATATATAAGACAGCATAACTTTATTTATTGACAACAGTTGTTTTTTTTTATCTGGGTATGGGATGTACCACATACAAAAATCGTGGAGCAAGGTGCATATCTTTGAAAGCCACTTTTCAACACTACATGGGGTCTGGGTTTTATAAGCCGGAGAAAGATTTTGCTTTGATGAGGTGGTGTTTCACCTACAGCACTGCACTAATTGAGAGTTATGGTGTAGAATCTCAGACTAACACCCAAACAGTCACACTGCTAAGGGTCACTATGTGGATATGTTTTTGCTTGTTATCTGCTGGGTGGCTTCCAACACTGCAGAACATCATTAAAAAGCAAACAGTTTGAAGTCCTTGTATAAACTGCTTCAACCAACTAAAAACGTCTTCTGAAACAAGGCGGACTCGTTTGATGCTTGAACGAGCACATTTCCCATTGCAGATATAGTCAACTCATGAATTTTGTCTTATGCCCGATGAAACTTTCAAGCGTTAGCCTTCACAGCCATTTATTGTTGAAGAAATACACCGTAAAACATAAATCATCCACTCAGGCTGGCAATAAAATTAATCATATTTATTACTTTATAGCTTCTAATTTGACCTCCTGATCAAACAGCTGATTTAATTAAAAAGTTGCAGTGATCCTTTGCGTAAAATTAGGAAGGTAAAACAAGAACAATCTGATTTGTCACACGTCTTCTTAAGAATTCAATCCACAGCTGTGGGTTTTGATCCTGCTCCCTGTGACTCAGAGTCCTGCTGGCTTTCATTTGCATCCAGTCAGAGACTAATTTACTTTTCAGAAACTGTCTGAATGCAAAATGTAATTAACCTTGAAGTCAGAGAGGACTGCTATACAATATCAACTCCTATCAGTACTGCATGAATTACTTCTTTCTGGGTTTGTCTTTGGTTTGTTCAGAATCCCCAAAAAGCTTCATAAAAAGTACAGTTTTCTTCTTCCCCTTTCACCACCGTGTAACCTGTGGTGGATAAAACTTCCTGTAATTTTTTATTTAACCCTACCAGTTTTCCACTGCCCAGTGATTGCCTGCTGCTGTTCTAGTAACCACTAGGTGGCAGACTGAGTCTTTGATCAGTCAGCTGGTCTAGCAGTAGAAAACGACATTAAAGTGTACTTTAAATCAAGACCAGTATTCCCCCTGTTGTTGAGCAACTGGGTAAAATCCCCTCAAAACTTCAGGCTGGGGGTAACATTTCACACTTTTGCAAGCCAGGAAGCCAGTTTGCTTTCTGGCTTGCAAAGATGTTCTGCATGTCCGTACAAAGAGGTCATTTCCTTTTCAGCACGTTTCACTTAGTTTTCGGTTCCTCCTCATCCTCGTTGTGAAATGTGTCCCGTCTCCTTTCCATATACACAACGTATCTCACGTGATATAACATGGCCTTCTCATTTAAGGTCGCTGAAACGTGAACATGGACGAACAAAAGGATGATCAGATTGGCCAAGATGACAGCACTCACAACTCTGAAAAGAAGGTTAGTCAGATTAAGGCACTGATTCTTACGTACTTCTTTGTGTTGTTCTGGCATGAAAAATGTTATAATATAGACAATCATGTCTTTGCTTTATGGAGGAACAGCCCTGTCCTAATAGTACTACACTGAAAAAAAGGCCATGTTGGATTTACTTGATTCAATAATGGACATTGGTTGCACACAAATGTTTTGCTTTGGCAGAAAATTAAACAACCGAGTTAAATCAACACAACTTTTTCATATTCAATAAACCTGTGCATTTTGTGTTTCTAAAACGCGATTGAAACATGTTCAGATGAAGTAAGCTGAGCTCTTGGAATGTTTTAATCCTTCACAATTTTGTCATTTTATTTCAACACTATTCAATAACTTTTACCCCAATACTATTGGTCACTTAAATACTACATGTTGTCTTCATATTACATAATGTTCAACAAAGTCTAGATCCTGGTTACCATAAAAGTTGAATGGATTTACAATGACTACCATCCTCCGGGTTGCAGGAGGGCTGGGAAATAACCCTGAAATGATAGGTTACGAGGCACGGTACACCCTAGACACCTCACCAGTCTATCACATAGAAACAAACAACCATTTACACTCACAGGTAATTTAGAATCACCAGTTAACCCTAACTCTAATAACTGCATGACTTTTAACTGTGGGAGGAAACCAGAAAACCCAGAGAGAAAGCTGCAAACTAGCCGGAATGTGGATTTGAACCCAGGACCTTCTTACTGTGAAGCAACAGCACTAACCACCATGCCAACAATCTAGGAAACACAGGAAAGCTATGATTTCCTGTATTTGATGCAGAATTTTTTTGTTTTTGTCCTTGACAGGTTAATCCACAATAAATAGCAATAGCATGCACGTGGTGTGTGTGTAGTTCTCTGCCTCTTATAACTCCACTGATTTTCCTGCAGTTTGAAATCTTGTGCGATCTTGTGAATTTCATGAGTTCAGCAACTAACCACTCTTACTAGATTGTATCAGGTCGTCTCAACAAGAACAAATTAAGTTTTTGAATTCCATGCAAATCCTACATGATTTAATTACGTTCATAGAAACATGAAATTATTGTGTTCAAATTACAAGTTAGACTTTTTTAATGTAACAACCACCCAATTTACTTTTTTTGGTATACCAAAAAAAGTAGAGGTGGCTGCTCGACTTGACTGAGATGGATGCCTTCCTGAAACCACGATCTAAAGAGCGCGAGTCTGAAACCCGTGCAGTGTCACGGGATTTAACATTGCTATATTATTGACTTACTTCACTTGAACATGATATGAACAATTTAATCTAGCCTCTCTGCATATCATGTAGTTTCTACACTATATAGTTACACTTAACTTTAAAGCATGAGGCAATTGTGTTAAATACACGCAAGATGCTTATGTAAATCCAAGAGCTGGCCAATCCCTTTTTTTCAGTGTATATAGACCTCTGGTTTCCCTGTTATTTGGCTACTATGTCATACATTAACCCGTTATGTTATCCGTGGACATTACACAGCTGTGAAGATACTGCACCTCAGTAAATATGTAAATATGTACTGAAACACACACATTTCAAGCTTTTCCCCTAAAACCTGCTGCTGAAACTTGGAACCCCACTTTTTGATCTAAAATGACATCAGCTTTAGTGGTAACCTTCTTCAGATAAAAACTAAAATTATGTTGCAATAAAATCTGTCAGTGGATCTGCATATTTCATTACTTATTTTTTGGCCAGTCCACTTCTGCAGAAACAGTGTTATGTCTAAAATACATAGATTTGTGTGAGCTTTGAGGGAATTTGCATATTCTCATTGTGCATATGTGGGTTCTCCCTGGGTACTCTGGCTTCCTCCCACAGTCCACATTGGATTAGGTTCATTGGCAGTTCTAAATTGTCTGTAGGTGTTGATGTGAGTGTGAATGGTTCTTGTCTTTGTGTTAGCTCTACAATGGACCAGCAGTCTTTCTAGGGTGATCCCCGCTTTTCACCCTATGACAGCTGAGAGCCTTAATCGGATAAACAGAAGACACTGGATGGATGGAAATGTGCTTTAGGATAAACAGAATTTAATTGGTCCTTTTCTTTTATGTTTTGCTGGGTGTTAATTTTTCTTATTTTCTGACAAGTACTCAAATCGCACAAATTTGTGTGTTTGCTTGTTACTGAGGACAGTGGATGTCAAATGCTGTATAGGTCTCAAAGCCACTTGGGGAAACTTTGTCATTTGTGTATTGTTGTATTTATGAAAAGAAAAAAAAATTAGTCTTGTTGGAATTTGCGCCCAACTCTTCACAGATGCTACAAAGTGATTGTTACACTGAGCCCCTGATTGAGAACATAGTTTAGGCTGTAAGTACCTGGAAGTAACTCATCAGCTCCATTGTTAGTACAACTCCCTCACGCACATATGTCTGTTTCAAAGTTTGCAAGATTAAGCTTTAAGGGGCTCTAGAGAATCCATTACCAAACAAAGGAAATGCATGGAAAGACACGTGAAAACAACTCTCAGCGTCACTGGGACATATTTTTTAAGGGACTGTGGGAAAGATGCTACTATCCGTGAGTTTTTAACCTTTAAAAATATGAGATATCAATTTCCCCTATATGACACTACTCTCTGGGTTTTAAGGCGATTGCTTGAGATTTTACTCTTTATTAAAAATATATAAGGATGACTTATACATGCGTATTCAAGGCTCGCAGTAGCCTTATGTATTCTGTTTCAGCATGGTTTCCTTTACTTTGACTTCATTTTCTCAGATAGCATTGTGGATCAAATGTAATTTCAAATGATATCCAGAATATCCTTCCCCTCTCCTCTCCCCACCCCCCACCCCCCACCCCTTTAGCTTATCATTATGAGCTGGAATCACAACTTTTTCTTCCTTTCCTCCTCCTAAAGCTTTATCTACAGTCTACTGCTCATTTTCTTCAGCTTTAATCACTGGCTCCTCATAGCTCTGCTGCATCTTATCCTCATGGACTTGATAACAATACTGTGCATTCAGTTTTTTGGCTCGTCTTTGCAGTCTATTGGTCCAAGGTATAGGTTGGTACTTCATATAAAAGCTTATCGTCCTTCACTTAATGCTGTATGATGTTTTAAAGTATGTTTGTTGCTATAAAACAAATTAATTACACTTACAAAATGTGCACTTAAACCACACACTGGATCTTGGTGAATAAAATATTCAAGTTGAACACAGTGATTGGCACACATTGTGTTACTTCTAGAGAAAAAATTCTCAACAAGTTTCGTCAGTGGAAATGAAAAATCGTCAAACCTTTGACGACTGCATTTGAAAACACACCAAAAATCAGAGTTAAAAATTGAAAACACATGCTGATACAACTTGTGTCATAATATGTGGCTCACTAGTGCATATGTTGTCTGTATACACTCCCAACAACGGCCTGATAAGATGACAGCTGGTGTCCTTGGGGTTCTCCTCCTGTTAGACCTGGAAAAGGCTGTTAGTGAACTCTGTGAAGCTATTTGGTGTCTTTGGATGCACTGACTCAGATTGTTCCAGAGATTCCCAATTTGATTCAGGTTTTGGGAAAGTGAGAGCCAGTCAGTGGTATCAGTGCGTTAATCAACCAGTAACCTGTACACTCTGGCCACAGTTGGCTGGAAATTGTCTTGAATTAGGAGAACCCAGGACTCATTGTACCAGCGTAAGGGCGGACGGTGAATCTGAGGTTTTCATCCCCATGCATAACAGCTGTCAGGGTACTGGTACTAACACATGGAGATCTGTGTGATCCTCCAAGGTTATGCTTACTTTGATCACTCAAGTTAAATGATATTGCAGGTAGCATAATGATTGGTACGCCATCTCCAGACTCTTTCCCATCTGTCACATCTGCTCAATGTGAGCCCGCTGTCATCTGTGAATAGAACAGGGTGCTAATGGCAGACCTGCCAGTTCTGGGGTTTCTCTGGCAAATGCCAATCAAGCTGAATGACACTAGTTTGAACACAGGCCTCATTACAGGAAGTCAGGCCCTCATGTCATGCTCAAGGACTCTGATTATCATAATTTGGTCAGAAACATGCAGAAGTAGCCCACTGGAGGTCTTTTTGTGGTATTCTGGCAGTGCTTCTTCTGTTCCTCCTACACAGAGGAGCAGATCCTGGTGCTGTGCTGATGATGGTTCCACGACCCGTCTCCTGGGATCTCCTTTACATTTTTGAGACTGTTCTGTGAGACACGGCAAACATCTTGCAGTGGCATGTATAAATGTGTCATCCTCAAGGAGCTGGACTTCTTGTGCAACCCAGGCTGCCGGAACCGTTTCAAGACACTAACAAAAAGCAAAGAGAAGAAAGAGATAAATCACCTAATAAGGATAAAGAAAGAGCCATAGATGATTGTTACCAAGTATAAAGTCGTTCCCTTTTTGGAGGTTGTGTTGTTGTTGTCTCTTCAGTGCCTCTGCTGTTGCCACTAGACTTCTCCAGTGGTTTATAGCAACATGTAATAGCAAACACCTAGATTACCCCAGTATAGTCCCCCGAGGATGATTCCTAGCATTCCTGGTCATTATTTAACCCTTTCTCTCCCGTAAACCTATCCACAATAGAAACTCATGGTCTTCTATAACTCGTTTACTTAATATTTTGCACAACCTTCTGATGGAGAACGTAGCACCTTGCCAAGAGGATACTCATAAAGCAAGTATGCAATACAATCTGCTAATCAAGTTTCTTCTCCTAATGGAAAATGGTTTCAATTTAATGATGTTATCTCCTTTCATCATGTGCTACACTGAGGGCAAACCTTTATGATTTTAACCCCTTTATTGCATTTATTGAATTTCTATCCTTCTCTTTTGTATTGAAGTCTTTAATGAGCTTCCTTCAGGTCATCACAGTTTTAGCCTTGATATGGTTTATTTCCTATTCCCATCCTCCTTTGTCATTTTCAGTAATAATATATCACGTTGTCATGAGAAATATATTTCACACAGTGTTGACTTTGCGCTAAAATGAAACAATTGACAAAATAAAAACAAAGCATGGATTTAAGAAGCTGTTTTCTTAGCATTGATGCCCAGAGTAACACAACTCACCCAGGGTTGAATTCCCTTGACTGAATCTGCCCTTGGCATTGATCAACACCAATGTGGAAAGGACTGCATGACTAGCATAATGTGTTCATGTGTGCTCTCTCGTTAGCAGTCACTTACAGCCTGCCTGTTGTGTGCCGCCTTCTTTGGCTCCCTGGGCTCATCTTTCCTTTATGGCTACAACCTCTCTGTAGTCAACGCTCCTGCTCTGGTGAGTCAAACACTTGTTCTCAGCCTTTTTGCAGGGAACCACAAGTGATTTTGTATGTTTTCTTTGTGCGGTAATTAAACTTTTAGTACTCATCCATAAATATTGAATGGCAGTGCTAAAACCAGCTTCTAATAAAGGTACAATTGACAGAACTGTAGCTCTGCAGATATAGAGGACCCCCCCCCCCATTAAGAAGAAATTGTTCAAAATGAACACGGTATATCAGACTCATAGACACTGTTGTAGTCAGACTTATCCCCAGTACAGTGACCATCTACAGGTATTATACCGATACATAATACCTTTAGGTATACTTTTTATATATAGGTATTATTTCCATGTGATTGCAGGACAGTCCCAGGGGAGTGTCCTGCCAGATTAATGGTTTCACAGTTTGTTTGGGCAGCTGAGAACAGGGGAGCCTAAACCTCCAGACCAAATACATATACTTATATTAAATATACTGTACATTACATTTTGGACAGGACTGAAAATCAGTGGCAATAGGTCTGATGAAAAAGTTGATCCATCATGCAGTATCATCTGGAAAGCATGTGACTGGCAGCAGCTTCATTTTTCAGTACGACATCGATCCCAAACACACTGCCAATGCACTAAAAGCATACTTGGATAGAAAAATACACAGTGCAATACAATGAGTCACGAGTCTTCTTTGAGCTTGAACCTCAACAGCATTGAAGCAGTAAAGGTGGTCATACCAAATACTGACTTTCTAGCTTGTTGTATGAAATGTATGGACTCTGTTTTTGCATTATATAATGTGTTTCTATGTATTTTTCAGTACTACAACTATTTCAAATTTTCCAGCAAAAAATATAAAGAAATGAGGGGTTGCTTTTGCAAAGTAATGTGTATCCGAAAAATACAACATGTGCAGCCAATGTTCTTGTAAGTTTACATTACATCTTCTTTGACTGGTGAAACAGAAACTGCATTTTTGAGTTCTGTACAAGTTCAATTATGTGGTGCCACTCGGATGGGAAACGTGTTTCAGAGGTCATGCTTTCCAATCAGGCTGTTTGTTTGTTCAGAGGTAATTAGATGTCTCACAGGTTATATAATTAGTGTTCAAGCGCCACGACCTTCAGCTCTGCAGTTACACCTACACTAACAACTAATACTGCAGAAAACACAAAAAACATGATTTTATTTTTCATCGTAGTACAATTCCCAAGCTCAGATTAAGGAGCTGTAGTTTAGAAAGATGATAAAAAGTGAATTCAGTCTACTTTATATTTTAAATTAAGCATAATAATATGTTTTACAGTGTACTTTCTGACAGTTCAGTGTAATTTCACATTTTGATACTGCTCTTAACAGTGTCCATATTTTAAAATAAATTTGAAAATAGATGATTGACCTTATATGGGAAGATTTTAACAGAACAGATTCATATGATGTATTTCTCAGTGTGCCTTCAGTAGATTATGAGTCCTCCAAACAAGCTTGAAAACAATATATAGGGGGTGGTAGTTGTACGCTTACCAAGAGCCTGCATATTTTGTCACAGTACCTCTCAAAAATAAGAAGCGTATTGCACAGTTTATGAACAATGCATTCTTTGTCTAAACAATGACAATAAGTTTCCCACTGTTTTTTATTTCAGAATGTAAAGTTTTGAAATGTTGTTTTCTTGTCAAGGACATAATGTTATTATGTTCTCTAGGACCTGCTGTGCTACTATCCAAGTGGATTATTCTTTAAATGCTGTACATGCATGATCTTCTACATATCCTCCAAATTTCTTAGTGGCAGGCTATAACTGAAATTGCTTTGCTTTCATTAAAAAACAGTATGTTCACCCTGGGTTTAGGCTGTGTGAGACTTTATAACAGGCTGGTTTTATTTGCACCTTAAGGGCTTCAATCCTAATTTTTCAAATCGTTCACTTCTCTATACTTGGTAGAACTCAACAAAACACAGCCTACATACTATTAAGGCTTTCCTTTTTAACAATTTGTTCAGAAATGTGATGATTTTATTTTATATTTTTAATTTATTTCACCGTTATTTATACAAATGAACCTCACTGAGACACGGGTTCTCATTTTCAAGCGACCTACTGATTACTGCATGGAATTAGTAGGGTGTAAAATGCACTTAACAAAAAATAAATAAAAGAAAATTGAGAAGTAATTAAAAAAAACAAGCAAACAAAAATTAACCTTCCAGATCTTCTTTGCACACAGTTCCACTCTGCACAACCCCAAAATCTGTTGCCTGGATATTTTGTTTTCTGCTTGGCTTAGCAAACTTAAAAGTCCCACCTACTGTTTAATCTGTATTTTGCAGCTAATTCTCCAGTTTACGTTGTTGTTGAGCCATTGCTTTTTTGTTTACTCCCCTTTATAGAATCTGCCCACCAGAAGCACCAGCTGATCATTTATGCAGCACTGGCTCTCCTCCACCTCAGTAGGGCTCACCACTTCTCCTGCTGTCTTTACAAAAGCCGAACAGAATAAACCAACAAAAACGTTGAGTTGAATTAGGATAACACAACAGAAGGAATATTACAGACAGAGTTCTCACTACATTTCAAAAAAGACCGAGTCGATCTCTTTAATAGTTCACTAAAGCCACAATCGTTTCTACACGCGGCACAAAAACCTATAAATGAACATTCAGCTTTCTCCACGCACAGCAGGGCCACCCCCAGCAGCGAGCTATCTTCAAATGTGGGCAAAGGAATATTATATGAAGTGTTAAAAATTCATTTCCATTGAACTCTAATAGGTCGAGCTATTGAGGTATCAGACATTAGATATGCAAGTAGACCACAAACCTCATCTTAGAGGAGAAGCATCAAAGTAGGGGCAAAAAACTATTTGCTACTCTTCATTCCACTTCCAGACAATGTCAAGATGATGGGAATTTACTCATTAATAATGTATAACTACCGTCATTTTCTGTAGACATCAAATTTACCCTGCTAAAGAAATCTTCACAAAGACATTTTCTTGGAGTTAACTGGGTGCACCAGTAACATCTTTGAATTAATGTGCATGATAGTGGCATGGCATTAATCTCCCCTCGACACAACACCTGTTATAAAAATGAAGGAGTCTTAATCATTATTTATGCAAACATTTCTTACAACAGCTTGACATTAACTGAGACAACATAACAACAGATCGACTCATGAACGGCTTCACTCTGATAGAAAACCAGTGAGCGTAAAATATTATATAGCCGTGTCAAACAGATGTTGCCATGGTACAAAATCTAAAAATATCGATTGTGTTTTGTGGCTGTGATGCTGGTGAGAAATAACTGTTGAACACATGAATAACTGAAGTCGGTGGATGTTTGCAGGGAGTGATGTGATGATGATGTGAAGTAATATCTTTGGAAATTATTTATCTATAGCACGTGACTTGGCTGATCTTCAGTAAAAGTAGCGATAAGGGTGATGAAAGCCCTGTAGAAACTGGTGTAACCTTTAAACCCCCCCCCCCCTTTTCCTAGCGATAGAATTGTTTTCAGCAAATTTGAAGTGACATCAAAGGTCATTTTTCAGTCTTAAGTTAAGCAAAGCCGGCAATCATGCTCGTGATACGTGATGCTTACAATGAGTAGCTCCTAAGCCAAAGCAAGCAATGACAGCGACTGTGTGACCACTGCCCTTCCTGACAGTGCTGAAGACAGGGAGGGCTTCAGCTTTGGTTTAACAGGAATTCAGTCGCAGTTGTTAAATGAAAGATCAAAAAACTACAAGGCCCTTTGCTTTCTATGCAACCGACGTCTTCACGCTCAATGAAGACACTTTAGAATTCTCGTGGGTTGATACAAGTGCCGTAATAATTTAATGCGACACATTCACTGACTCATTGTAGCCTGTGCTTCAACTTCTTAATGAAGTCACTCAGTTTGTTGCTATTACGCTATTTGCTATTTTTTAAAGTAAAGTTATACAAAACGTCAGACACTGTCTGTAAAAAGAATGCTATCGTGATGCTCCAGTCAAACTATCCAAATCTCAAACTTTTGATGTGATGATTGATTAGGTGTTTTACACGTCATTTATTCATTTTATTGGATACAAGGAGTCAATCAATCATGTATATGAACACATGAACACATTTTAGATTGCATTAGGGCAGGTAGGTCAGAGAGAGATAAGAGTGTTTCACGTGTGACAAACCTGAATACAGATGCAAAGAATAAACAATTCTTTTATGAAATCTGGAGCTATTCAATAAACATCCAGGGCCGCCCAGGGCTAATGACATGCCTGCATTAAGCCTGCTGAAATTAATTTATTTGCATATTGTGGAGACCAGATATAAAATCTTACCAATATTATTACTGGTATTAAAGCAAAATGTTTTCAGATCATATCGTTTAACAATCATTTCCTGGTAGTCCTTTTCTTCAGGCAAAGTTTAGGTCATAAAGTCAGATTGGAAATGTAAAAACACACTCATGATACATATGATATTCAGTAAACATGTGTTGGGGGTTTCTAGGTTTACATCTAAACTTTTTAAATATCAATGTTTTTTGTTTGTTTTCACCATTTATCCATATGAATAACACATTTAAAACATCTCTTTGTGTTCCTTTTGTATTGCAGTACATTAAAGCTTTCTACAATAAGACATGGATTGAGAGATATGGGGAGCCTATTTCAGCGGAGACGGTGACCCTCCTCTGGTCCGTCACAGTGTCCATATTTTCTATTGGAGGCCTTTTTGGAGCCCTGTCTGCCACGTTAATCATCAAAGTACTGGGCAGGTGAGAACACTGTTATGTGCTTACAATATCGCTGGTAAGAAGTTTGCTTTTATATCCTTCACTCATCAGGGAATGGCGAACAGCAGTCAGTTTGGTGCAAACGATTATGTTATGAGTGAATATGAACAACACTGTAGATCCTTTGGCTTCCTTTGTTGTGGGGAGCGGTCTCTCTGGATCGAGCTTGTTCTGGTGAATCCCACAAATGCTTGGTCGGATTGAAATCGAGGGACCGCAGGATAACACTGTGCTGCACAAACACAAGAAAGGGGAATTTTTGAAGTGTGGTGTGCTGCTGTTAGCAAGGGAAGAAAGAAACCACTAACCACTTGATCTGCAACAGTGCTTAGGCAGGTGGTAAATGACCTTGTTTGTGCACGAACTGTTGGCTTCTCAGTATGATGTTAATTTAACAAAATGATCCAACAAAATCATTGTGGTTTTAACACTGTGGCTCACCTCTCCAGCTGTGACTAAATAACAGTGATGTTAAGTACAAACACAGACCCTTAAAGTGTACAAGTGTTATTTTTGTTCCTCGTGTCTCCCTTTTGGTACAAGGCTCCGTTAGACAACCAGTTCCTTTAAGTACAATAATGAATAATTTTAAATCTACTCTGTAGCAATCTCACTGTTGTATTTAGCCTCCATTTACAATGATCAAGTACCAGTAAGTTTTTGTAATGGATTTAAGACATAAAAGACTGTCAGTGCACTGACTCCAAGGACATAAAAGGTATTGGTCTTTACTGACTTGCACTGGTTTGACAGCCTATATACTGCATGATGAGATCCAATCTCACAGCCAGCGTGATGCATTTAGCTTTAACTTTTGATCACCTACGTGTTGGATTGCAGAGCCACATGTCCTACTATCCTCAAGGGACACGTTCAGGCACTAACAAAATCACCTCAGGGCTATGAAATGATACGTCTTCTAAAGAATCTGTTATCCACTAATGACAAGAGTGTCACAGAGAGACTTATGAAGTTTTTACTCAGAGTCATTTCAGACAATTAAGATACCCTTGAGGTTCACCTTGGATTTCTCAGGTTGCGATCCTCACTGTGTTAATTAGGTTGAAGCGTATAATTCATTTTCCCTCCACATTCCCTGCTAGACGTGGGGGTCAGCTGGAAGTTTTACACAGAGTTTCGGAAAGGTTGAAATTCAGATGTCAGGGACAAGCGTTGAATATATATGTTAACTTAATGAGGACTCATGGAGCAATTGAAATGAAACACACTTCAAAGTATGCCAGGGAAGCCGAGGTAGGTTTAGTTTAAAAAAAAAATCTGTAGAGGTGTGTGGACATTTCACCACAGACATGAAAAGAGATTAATAAACATTTGTGGTCGACTGCACTGCTACATAAATGAGTGTATTTAAATTTTAGATTTAAATGTAGATTTAGACACAGCAAGAGAGAAAAGCCTTCATCTCAGAAACAAAACACGGCTGATTATCATGCTGCTGGTGTTGTGTGACTGATGTTGAAATACAAATGCTATAACTTATGAAATGTGCTGCTCTGAGAGCCTCAGTGGCGTTGTTAAGCATCTCACTTCAAAGATAGCAAAAATCAATAGGAAGAAAACATTTTTCTTTGACCCCTGACATTAAAAAAGGTACAGTTCAGACAAGACCTGAATGCGCACACACGGCAAACAGGCATGCTGAAGAAAAAAAGCAACTTGGTCAACAAAGGCTGGTAAAGTAAAAGTACGCAGATGAGCTGGAGATCACACGCAAATGGCCCGATGCTGGAGAACAAGGGAACCAGAGATGTTGGGTGGCCTGGTGGCAAGGCAGATAAACAGTGCTGCCCAGGTGCTGCAGATGGGGGATTAAAAAGAGACTACTCCAGGAGGCAGGACCTGCTGTGAAAGTGGAGCTCCATCAGGGCCATGCTAGAGGCTAATGGTTAAGATACAGCAGGGAACAGGCAGGAAGACCAAAGAAGAGATGAGGTCAAGACAAAGGCTGGAAACCAGAACAGTTGGACAACAGAAGAGGTTCAGCAGGCAGGACAGACAGATGCTCTTTGAAATGGGGGTCAGTTGTGACAGCTGATGCGACCTGGTGTAATCGTGTCCTGCATGGCTAGAGGCCGCACTAAATTCTGTTATATAATAAGTGATTGAGAACTGATTGTTACTTGTCAAGAAGAGGAACAGTTCCCACTGACTTGGTGCTTCTGGGAGCTTGGGTTAATTTTTATAGAATACTAGCAACTAGGGATAATGAAATAGTTTCAGATTGAGCGTAGTGTAAGAAACCTCCATTACAGAACTGATCTTTCTGTTGTGATGGCCTCAAATGTGTTCCTTTGAAACTATAAAAAGTTATTCAGCTATTCCATGATGTTAGCTTTTTAAAACTCGCCTATCTCTGATAGTTCTTGCTCTGCTAGCTTTTTGTTAGGTGAAGTTCTTTTCATCCCAGGTGAAGCACTATAGAAATTGAATTTAATGAGTTACATTTAGTTAATTTTTACATTTTTTTCATGTATTTTTCTTACTGACTTTAGAAAGGGGACCTTGCTGCTGAATAACAGCTTTGCTGTAATAGCTGCTGTGCTTCTGTCTCTGGGTGAAATGTCAAGATCTTTTGAGATGCTCATCATTGGACGACTCATTATGGGGGTGGATTCTGGTAAGAAATATGCTTTTATAATTTCCCACTCATCAGAGAGTGTAGAACATTCAATATAGAGCATAATGCTGTAGTGTAAGGGAGTACAAAGAAAATATTAATTCAGTTAATCATGTAAATTATGATGATATTTTTAAGTTTAATCTGGTTGACCTTATCAGAAAATGTCAATTACATACATCACCTCTTGTAGTGACGCTGATTTTTTACTTACTTCTACGACTATGGGAATTCATTATTATCAGGTTATTCTAAAAGGTCCATGAAAAACCTCCAGTTAGTCCAAAATGCTGCAGTGAGAGTACTGGACATGGGCGAGGACAAAATACTGTATTTCTTCCATATTAACATCTCGAATAAACAGGACCCATCATACCTTATAGACTTGATAGTACCATATTATCCTAATAGAGCACTTTGCTCTCAGACTGGAGGCTTACTTCTGGTTCCTGGGCTGCAGGTCACTGCTGTAGTCCTTTCAGTCCCTGGGGTCACATCAGCTAAGATGTGCTTCTTGGTGTCAATCATGCGAATCACTTGCATCAGGTTTGAATTGGTGTGAGATGTTCCCCCATCCTGAATCACATGAGTCATTAAGATGACTTGACTCAATGTGTGTTTGTGGGTAGAGTCGTCTGGAAAGGTATCTCAAGACTATGTTGCAGATAAATGGTGTCACAGGCCACGACCTCCACTCAGTGATGGTCATTCAAAGAGCACATCCAAGGTGATAGCACTATTAGAGGTCAAATACCTGGGACTTCCCATCTGGTGTTAGAACTGAAGAAGCCATTGTGTGTTTTAAATTCAATGATCACTGATTTCACATGTGCTAAAAAAGTGCTACCTCATAAAATGCAACCCAGCTTTGGTTTTAACAGTAGCTTGGTTATACCACAACGGAGAAATAGTAGCTACCTTTAAAAAAAATACACACATTTACAGAAGCGTGGGGTAACTTGTTTACAATTTGTAGTGTGTGGAAATTGATTTGTTTTTAAGTATTAACTTGTTCTTCAGTGTAGACCGTTTCTAATGCACAGACCATCAATACTAGTACCCATGACTGTGCCCCACAGTTCAAGACAGCCAACTGTGAAATGTGACTTGATGTTCAGTGTGTGTTAGTGCAGTGGAGCTGTTGGTGTGTCTGCACATTTATGTGGTAAAACAAAACAGACTTCGATACTGATAAAAACACCCCCAATGCTTTTAAAGACAGCTGATGCTTACAGATCCTAGATACGGCCAAGATACGTGAATGCATATTCCTCTACTATGTCAATACATACTGATGACAGGGGTGTCTACATAGACACGAATATATTGTTTTTAATAGGTTTTAATATATTGTTTGCTTGTTTCTTTCTGACAGGTATTGCTCTCAGTGCTCTCCCCATGTACCTGGGAGAAATTTCCCCAAAACACTTCAGAGGTATGATTGGCCAGTTCAACTCCATTCTAATCTGCTTAGGAGTGTTCACTGGGCAAGTGCTGGGGATGCCTGAGCTGCTGGGTCAGGTTAGTGGTTTAGGAGGCTATGAACGATTACATTTTGAAAGTGTGCTGTACAGGGAGTGCAGAATTATTAGGCAAATGAGTATTTTGTCCACATCATCCTCTTCATGCATGTTGTCTTACTCCAAGCTGTATAGGCTCGAAAGCCTACTACCAATTAAGCATATTAGGTGATGTGCATCTCTGTAATGAGAAGGGGTGTGGTCTAATGACATCAACACCCTATATCAGGTGTGCATAATTATTAGGCAACTTCCTTTCCTTTGGCAAAATGGGTCAAAAGAAGGACTTGACAGGCTCAGAAAAGTCAAAAATAGTGAGATATCTTGCAGAGGGATGCAGCAGTCTCAAAATTGCAAAGCTTCTGAAGCGTGATCATCGAACAATCAAGCGTTTCATTCAAAATAGTCAACAGGGTCGCAAGAAGCGTGTGGAAAAACCAAGGCGCAAAATAACTGCCCATGAACTGAGAAAAGTCAAGCATGCAGCTGCCAAGATGCCACTTGCCACCAGTTTGGCCATATTTCAGAGCTGCAACATCACTGGAGTGCCCAAAAGCACAAGGTGTGCAATACTCAGAGACATGGCCAAGGTAAGAAAGGCTGAAAGACGACCACCACTGAGCAAGACACACAAGCTGAAACGTCAAGACTGGGCCAAGAAATGTCTCAAGACTGGTTTTTCTAAGGTTTTATGGACTGATGAAATGAGAGTGAGTCTTGATGGGCCAGATGGATGGGCCCGTGGCTGGATTGGTAAAGGGCAGAGAGCTCCAGTCCGACTCAGACGCCAGCAAGGTGAAGGTGGAGTACTGGTTTGGGCTGGTATCATCAAAGATGAGCTTGTGGGGCCTTTTCGGGTTGAGGATGGAGTCAAGCTCAACTCCCAGTCTTACTGCCAGTTTCTGGAAGACACCTTCTTCAAGCAGTGGTACAGGAAGAAGTCTGCATCCTTCAAGAAAAACATGATTTTCATGCAGGACAATGCTCCATCACACACGTCCAAGTACTCCACAGCGTGGCTGGCAAGAAAGGGTATAAAAGAAGAAAAACTAATGACATGGCCACCTTGTTCACCTGATCTGAACCCCATTGAGAACCTGTGGTCCATCATCAAACGTGAGATTTACAAGGAGGGGAAACAGTACACCTCTCTGAACAGTGTCTGGGAGGCTGTGGTTGCTGCTGCACGCAATGTTGATGGTGAACAGATCAAAACACTGACAGAATCCATGGATGGCAGGCTTTTGAGTGTCCTTGCAAAGAAAGGTGGCTATATTGGTCGCTGATTTGTTTTTGTTTTGTTTTTGAATGTCAGAAATGTATATTTGTGAATGTGGAGATGTTATATTGGTTTCACTGGTAAAAATACATAATTGAAATGGGTATATATTTGTTTTTTGTTAAGTTGCCTAATAATTATGCACAGTAATAGTCACCTGCACACACAGATATCCCCCTAAAATAGCTAAAACTAAAAACAAACTAAAAACTACTTCCAAAAACATTCAGCTTTGATATTAATGAGTTTTTTGGGTTCATTGAGAACATGGTTGTTGTTCAATAATAACATTATTCCTCAAAAATACAACTTGCCTAATAATTCTGCACTCCCTGTATATGTCGTGTTGTTTTCTGTAAGAATGGTTTTGAGGCTGGAGAAATTTTTAAATCAAGACAAGAAATTTGAGTTTAGTAAATGAAAAGTGGGCTAAACATAACCACCACATCACTCCAAGTTTTTAGTATATTGTCTGTGGAGAAGGTCTGTTGACTGTGGATGTCTGGTTGTGGTGGTGGGGAATTTCTTTATTATTTTTTCCCTTGACTGTAATAAAGTTTGCTCTCGAGTCACTGTCATAAACAAACTGCACTTAAAGGCGTTTCAGCAAGCCCAAAGCCAGTGTGAGTGAGTGAGTGAGGAATCTGAATCAATAAATTATGCTAAAAGTCATATAAATTGGCACTTTAAGTAAAATGTGAACCTGTCATGACTTTGGTGATGCATTTAGATAAAGTACTATTCACCTATTGTGAGAGTCACTTGTTACTGGTTGAACTGGTTCCAGTCTTGGTTTACATTTTGTGTTTTGTTCTTAGCTGAATTTTTAGATTTTGACTTATTTATTATTCTAGTCTAATGTGAGACTTAGTTCTCACATTATTGATAAGATAAGATTTTATTGCTTATTTTTAATGTGGTAACCAGTTACATGTTCTGTTTTGTCTTGTTTTGTCTTCTTTCCGGTGTATTGTTATATTTAATAGTAGTATTAGTAGTTTCCCCAGCTTGTGTCTTATTGTACCTTATTTCTGCATTCATGCCTCTGTCCCTCCGTGTTGCCTAGTCTCTGACATCTTAAGTTCTTGTGTTGGTGTTTGTTAGTTTTCTTTGGTTGTTTCCGGTTTTGCTTTGAAGCGTAGTTTTCTTTCATGTCTGCTGTCAGGTTTGCTTCCTTCCTGTCCTCCGATTCCCTGATTGTTTTCACCTGTTGTTAATTGCTTTCACTTGTGTCTCCCCGCTCATCTGCTCGTTGTCCCCAGTGACTTCTGAGTATTTATAATCTTGTCTGCTTTTTTGTCCTTTTTGTCAATGTGTGTGTGTGTGTGTGTGTGTGTGTGTGTGTGTGTGTGTGTGTGTGTGTAGCCAG